ATCGTTACTGTTATCTACTATATGACCACCACCTTCCTGTCAACGTTTGTAAGTAATCTTTTGGTAAAAAGCCTGTAAGACATATTAGGCACTCAACGGTGATTTGCTTAGCTTCCTAGGAATCACGTGAGAGAATGAGTCACACCCAACTTGCAAAATCACCAATGTGGGGTGGGTGCGGATCGAAGATTCACCTTACGGCGTTGGAACCTTGCAAGCGGGGTACAGCATCGTGATGTGTGAAATGGTGGCGTCATTACGACCCCCCCCCCTAATATAAGAGAGGGTCCCGGTTCGAACCCCCGCTTCCCTAACACCTACCTACCAATTTCCCACATTTTCCAGTTTTTCACCCAAAAGTTTTCCGTCGGGGGCGGGGGGGGGGCTATATAGCCAGTGTGTATCGGGAAAGATTCCTAGATTTCCCGCAACTCCTCACCACTTTTTTTCTGGAAGAGAGAGGAGTATATTACAAATGAAACAGGAGCGACCAAAGTCAGCAACCGGAAGAAATTTTTTCCCAACGCGGCAAATTTCTCTCAGAGCCACATACGACCCCCCTCTCCCAACAACGACAAATACGACCCCTATCCCGAGCAGCCGAGTACGACCCCTCCCCCTGCCATGTACACAACGATGCTGTTCCCTGTTTGCAACTTCTTTGTACTTCCTAACTATTCAAGTATTAGGTTGTCCGGAAAGTTCTCAGCGTTTTGGGTGTTTCACTTTAAACGATCGTAACTTTTTAACACTCATCGGATTTAATCGAAATAGGCACCATTCGAATCAGCACACTTTTGCCAATGTGACAGCAGTCGAGAAATCCCATCAAAGTAAAAAACTGGGTGGTCGAAAATTCACGAAATCCACGAAGGCTTTTTTGCCTGGTCCTGTTTGATGAAGTATTTCCCAGCAAGGAAGTTCTGAAAATGTTTGAAAAGGGAATATTCGGTTGGTGGAAAGGTCTGAAGAATATGGCGGTTGAGGTAGAACTTCAACCCCCAATTCGTTCAATTTATGGATAGTGATTTGTGAAACGTGTGGGCGGGCGTTGTCATGCAAAGGAATCGGACCCTTTCTTTTGATAAGTGTTGGCTGCATCTGACAAAATTTTCGGTACAATTCGTCGATTTCTTCACAGTAGGGTTCTGCTGTGATGGTTTGGCCTGGTGATAAAAAGTTATAGTGGATCACACCAGCCGATGACCACCAAGCCGTGACCAGAATCTTTTTTTCGTGAGGGTTCGGCTTTGAAAATTACCTCGGTGGTTCGTCGAAATCCAACCACTGTCCGGAACGTCTCCTGTTATCATACATGACCCATTTTTCATCACAGGTGACAATTCGGCCCAAACAGGTCGTTTCTGCTGCGCAAAAGCAATGCAGAAGGAACCTCGAGACGTGCCGATTCCTGCCGGTCACTCCGATTGTGGGGCACCCAATTGTCGAGTTTTTTCACCTTCCCAATGCGTTCCAGACCATGCAACAGTGGATTTGCCAAGGCCTAGCTCTTCTGCTATCTCTCGAACTGTTTGGGATGGGTCAGCCTCCAAAATCCCCCTAAAATCCTCGTCAGATATTGCTTTAGGTCGACCGCTATGAGGTTCATCTTCAAGGCTGAAATCTCCAGAACGAAATTTGTTGAGCCATTGCCGCACAGTGCTTTCTCTAGCACTATTGGGCCCCCACACCTGGTTAATTTGTTGAGCTGTTTCGATTGCGGATTGCCCCAATTTATAGTCGAAGAAAAAAATCGTCCGAAGTGCTCTTTTCACATGCTTGAAAAATCTTGAAAAAGGGGGTTTATCAAGCAATGGTGAAACGGCAATTATACCATCAGATAGCGCAAGAAATTCTCTACAGGATGTGCTACTGAGAAGCAAGGCAGAATGAGTTTTTAATCAGCAGTGAATGTACAAAAAATAGGTGCACAAAACGCTGAGAACTTTCCGGACAACCTAATAGATAGTTCAGCACCTTCTCAAATCAAGAATGTCCCTGTACATTTGAGGATCTGACATTTGAGGACCCACCAAAGCGGGTACTGCCTATCCTCCCATGAATGCTAGGATAGGCAGTTTTCACATTGGTTAGGAACAATATCAGATCAGGCTCTCCTTCCTGTTACGAACAGGAAGGAGAAAGAGGAAGGACAGAATGAGCAGGGCACAATGACAGACCTGACTCCGCTCGTACAATTAGCCAGGCTGTGCGCTTATGGAGGTCCAACATTTTTTAAAATTGACCTATTAATCTACTCCTTCTACGAATTTACTGCAATTTTGCTTGCTTTCTCTATAGCTGCCGAAGGCATCATTATTTTTTATCATTCACACTTTTGATTTTTGCGTGTATCACACTTATTGTCACAAGAAGTGCAGCCAAAATAGCTCTAGTTGGGTGCTTGTTCCAAGAAGACGGGCAAGAAAATCGTAACTTGCCGCTCCGCCGCGCGCGGGATGGAAGCGGCGTTCTATTAATTCATGTTAGCCTGTCGAGTGGAGCACCACATTTGAAGTGGGATACGAAACTGTGGGCATTCACAACTATTTTCGGTATTGCATTCCCTGTTGTCGCCATCTACGACCTGGAACCATCGTCATTTGCGGCGCGACGTCGCACGCGACGCCCATCAGCGCGGCGAATTACGATTCTCTTGCCACATACCCCTTGTTCCAACGGTGTTTCATGGGCTTGTTCAAGTGGCTCCTGCAGCAGAAAGGCTCTAACTTATAGCGCACTCGGAACGTAAAGAGATCGCGAAGTGCGGGTTCGAGTCCCGACAGGAGTCGAGGCTTTGCCCATAACTCAGTATTCTTGTGATAACTGATTTTACCGTTTTCCAGACAGGAATAATCCTAGTCTCGTCGATTCATCCAGGAGATCCGTCATTGATACATGCATTAGGTGAAGGTACTCTCGAAAATACGGCTCTATCTACCCTTGACACCTTTCTTGATCAAATCAGGTTCGTTTTCTAATCACGGCTAGGGGAGAATGACTTGCTCCTGCTTACAGCGTTTCTCTGAAACTGGCGAGAGCTGTGGGCTGAAGCTTGTGATAGTGTGCAAGCATTCTTCCGCTGTACACTGTTGCCCCTCGCGAGGAGTTCTTTGAAATAACCTCAGGTTCTTTTATGAGGATTTTTTTCAGGAACATGTTCCCAGAGAACATTATTCAAGCAACATTCCAACAAGTCCAGACGTACTACGTCCCTTGGAAACCAAAGCATCCACGTATTAATGGGACAAGCAACGCGTCTGAAGTGGTCTTTCACAAACCACAGCTCACCTACACCAACGAAATGAATGTCCTAGGTTGGCTAATTTCTCTACATATCCTCTCAAAACCATGGGCGTTTTGAATTTCTTTAGAGGAGGCCATGAGGCTCGAGTGACTGTGACACACGAAGGTTACAGCCAAGTTCGCTGCAGACGCAGGGGCGTCTCCGGGAGGCTGGATATGGTACTGGGTCAGCCAGTTTCCACTCAAGGAAACGGGGCAAGCGACAACAGCTGCCGGCGATCGTGCTGGCTGGGCGAAACTCTGCGTCTGCAGCGAGCAAGACTGTAAGTCAGCAAGGTGGCGCTGGTTCCATATTGCATGTGCCGGTCGAGCTACTGCACCTGCAACGCTGCCGTCGAAGCTCGGATCTCCTGACCCACATCCGAATGTTTGCCTTTTTCAGGCCTCATCGTGTTCTGCAGTGGGTTCGGTGTGATTCTAAGCATACTCGGCGATCAGGCGCGATTGATGATCAACTTCTTCATTGTTCTAGACGCTATCATAATGAGATGGATATCTGCTTTAATGTGGTGGGTACTGCAGCTGGATCTTACCAAACTCGCTACTATACATAACTTTTTCTTTGTTTGCTGTCTGCCTGTTTGTTTGTTTGTTTGTTTTTTATTTGTCCATTTTGCTCGCTTGTTTGTCTGACCAAATTTTTTGGTTCGATAGTCACTTTGAGAGTTAGGTTTGAGTATCGGAATGGCAGGGACAAGTCAGGATTAAGGACAAGTCATGGGCCAAGATTCACGGAGCACACAGGCCAAGCTCCGCCCTCGGTGGGCGGGACACGTAGAATTGAGCGATGTTACAGACAAAATTCATAATTTGGTTCCAGGGTAGTCCACAGCTGGCAGAAAGTAGTTTAATATTGTCAAGGGTTGAATGTCCAATGAGAGTAACCACCCTGAAAATGGGCGAGGCGTATGTGTCCCGCCCATTCCAGGTGTGGTTGCTTTAATTCTACGCAAAATGTGGAGCATAGATTACTTGATTCCATACTATTAAAACAATGGTTAATTGCAAGTCTTTATATAATTGATTTTTGAAGAATTTCAGAGAGAACTTCCACAAAGAAATAACTTACACTCGTCATTCCGACACTTGATTAGGGCAACAAGGGACGCGACGCGGCTGCGGCATGTCGAGAGCGCGGCGATCAGCTGTTTCCAGACTATTTTAGCCATTTTCTTCCTAATTTACACTGTTTGGCTGCTTTTCTCGAAATTAGTTGTTCCTTGTCTTCACAAGGTAAATTCTGATTGAGATTCCTCTTGGTTTTTTTTTGCAATTATACAGGTAGGTAGACAATCGAACAAACACCTGAAAAAATTACACAAACACTATATAACATAAACAAAAAAAGACTCCACGCCTAATGTACTTCATAAAGACAACAAAACAACTAACCTAAAAAAAATAGAAAATACAGTGAAAATTAGGGAGAAAATGGCTAAAATAGGCTGGAAACAGCTGATCGCCGTGACGCGCCGCAGCCGCGTCGCGACCCTTGCCGCCCTAATCAAGTGCCCGGGTGACGACTGCAGTTTCCATTTCGCGCGCGCCCAGTGAGTGACGAGGACGCTATGGTCATCATTAGTTGAAATAACTTCACTTTTCATGATGCCTGACCCATCTGCGGAAAATAGAAAGCACTACTCAGTGTTGGGGACCAACCAAAAGGACACCAAAATGGCGAATTCACTTTGAGTTCCTATGATGAAAGAAGTTAGGGACAAACAGTAGCCATTTTTCAGGTGCTATCCCTATTGGAATCTTATCGCTTGTCTGTAAAAATATTGTTGACATTGACAACCTTACTGAAACGGCTCAAGGTAAGCCTTCGAAGAATTTGTTTTGCCGTTTCATAGTTGAGGCGCCGTCGTAGTTAGTCGGGGTGGTGTCAAGAGGTGATGAAGAGCGCGCCTCCGGCTGCCTTTCTCCCAATAACAGTCCTACAGTGTTCGATTTTTGAAGAAAACGACCAGTAATGAAAATGCTGTGGGTGAGCTCATTCCGACACCTCCCCGACTGATTGCGGCGACTTCAACTGTATAGCTTTGAGTCTTGCCGTGCTTGTTGGGTGGAAACTTTATGCGGCGTGGGATCTAATCAGTCGTTTTTGGAGGCATTAGATCATTCGGAAAGAGTGGAGTGAGGAAGCCGATGTACTCCTTGTCTGAGGGCAAAAGTGGCGTTTCCTGATGCACACCATACCCCGAAGACAAGATGTGCGGGGCTATCCGAAGACAAGAAGTGCGAGGCTAACTACTTTGTTCGGTTCCACCTCTTATTTGATGCTAACTGGGAACGCTGGCGAATCTGAGGGTTTGCGCTAATGAGCATTGAAGTCAGAGATCTTCCTTCCTTCCCACTTTCCATCCATTCCCCAAGCTGAAGGGTGCCCCAATATGGCCAACAATTTTTATTACAGCACTCGCAATGTATGTTGTAACGGTGATCTGTGGCCTAATGATTCACTCACTGCTCACTCTTCCACTTCTGTACTTCATTGTGACAAGGAAAAGTCCTTTCGCCTACATGACGGGAATGCTTCAAGCCTTGGCGACAGCTTTCGGAACGGCTTCGAGGTAGGGAACAAATCAGTAGTGATTCCTCATCTTACAATGTATCTTGTCAGAGAATGAGACAAGAAGACGTAAAATTTTGCTCGCAAGGGATGGAGTGTCAGGGGGCCGTGCTTGTAGCGGTGCTAACTCGTTCACCAACTGTTGTTGCTAGTCCCGCATCAACAACTGGTGGAGAATGGGCTGGCGCTGCTCCAAACGCATCCTCCTTGTCACGCCTCACATCAGCATTACCAGCTAGCGAGACTGGAGGCGTTTTTCTTCGATTAGGTGAATAACTGCGATAGTTTTTAGTACTGCCACTCTGCCGGTGACATTTCGAGCTTTGGAGGAGAACCTGAAGATTGATCGGAGAGTAACACGATTCGTGCTCCCTCTGGGCGCCACAATCACTATGGTATCATCCTATGCAACTATTAATTTTATTTACTGTTCGAGCAGGGTACAGCATCGTGATGTGTGAAATGGTGGTTTCAGTACGCGGTACGACCTTCCCCTCCCCAACCTACCTACCCTTTTTCCTGCAAACTTCCTACCATTTTTTCCGGAAACTTCCCAAAAATTTGGACGCTTCTCTCCCCAAAATTTTTCAAGCCGCAGTGGGAGGAGGTCGTCGGGACCCAATTACTATTTTCAAGGGTATAGAACTTTGGCGACCCCACCAGTAAAAAGAGGGGGCAAGCGTATATGGCCAATGTGAAACGGGAAAAATCGAGAAAAATCAACAGCCGGGAAAAATTTTTTCCCAACGCGGCAAAATTCTTTTAAAAACGCATGCGAGCTCACCCCCCCCCCTTCTCCCAGCAACGACCAAGTACGACCCCCTCGCGTTTTTCACATAACGATGCTGTACCCTGTGTTCGGGGTTGTATTTTCGCTTTTAGATTTTTTAGAGGCGATAAGAGTGGCCCGTCAACGGGAAGAGGCTCAGTTAGAGAAAGGAGCCGCGTAAATATGAAGGTTCTTTCCAAAACATTCTCCGAGGCTTTAACTCAACTCTTTGAGTCTTGAAAAGAGCACTCGTCTTGATGGGCTAGTGTGATGACAGTCTAACCAGTCTGGAGTGTCGGGGCGTTTTAGAGGGGTCTTGTCGGGGCGCTTGATAGATCCCACCAGTTAAGGTTGCCTGCTTCCACAGTTTGTGGAATTTCGGGCACAGTCAATGAACACCATGACTTTGGAAGCACATTAGTGAAAAAATGATTTGATTTGAATATGTTTATATTGTTTTTAGTTTTATTTTTATTTTTACTAATTCATAGTGCAATTAGAAGCGAATGCGTTTCCAGTCCATGAAAATTCTCTTTTCCTATTTTCAGGACGGCACAGCACTCTACGAAGCTGTCGCAGTCATTTTTATTGCTCAACTTCACAACGTCAAACTCACTTTGCTTGAATTATTAACTATTAGGTGAGTGTTTACTTACACTGCATTCATACTTAGCGACTCATAGCGACAGCGAGCGACCACCCGCATCGTTAGTCTTTGGATTTGGATTGCTGCAAAGGTGGAACCAAATTTGTAGTCCATGTGATCGTATAAACAGCGGTTCAAAACAGTTGCAGTAGGAAGGTTCTCAAAATGTGGATGTGCCCCTTGGACAGTGAAGCGTGCGCCTAGCTTCATGGTATCACTCCTTTCTAAAGAATTGGAAGTGTCTGGTACTTCGGAGCTCCCTATCTCTGACCTTACTGAAGAGCAGCAGATTTGAAAGACACTTCCCAGTCACGGCATCGCAGTGCGAGTTGAGCAGCAGGGAACATTTTTGGTTGGGTACGAATTGAGCTGGGAGCAGGGCAATCATTGGCTGGGGATTTTGGTCGACTCCATGCAACCCTCCCCGTGGTACTCTCCTCGATATAATCGAACTGTCGAGCAGTTTGGGAGGTGGGGGGTCGCACGGTAAACATCTCTCAGACCGGATACGACCCCCTTCCTTCCCTCCTGCGACCAAATACGACTCTCTATTGGGGAATCTCCAACGATGATGTGCCCTGCTTTGGAGAGAAAGTGGAAGCGCTGCCGTCGTATTGAGTGATCTGAGTACTGGTGCGGATGCTGCGTATGTAAACAAGCTTGCTGAACTATTTCACCGGGACTGCCGGGACTGAATGTAGCGCTCCAGTCCCGAGAATAGCTGACCCTGGGAGGATAAATTAACATTCATCGTGAAGCCCGCCATCATGGTTTAGAAATGGGGGCACCAACTATGGCAGCACATAGGTAGGCCTGACTGGGAACAGCGTCCAGTGTATCCTTATATAATCAACAGTCCATGAGCTCGAGCTCAAAGGTAGGCCCCGAGGCAAAGGTTTTTGAGATGCGGTTGATGGTGCCCTAAGTAAGGTGCAGTGCATTCTTGTACAGCAGGCGATGTGCAGTATTCCGAGAAAATATTTCTATCCATTCTTCCTGGACGGCACAGCAGAAATGCACTCATCCCCTGAGCGTTCAAGGCTCAGTGGTTTGATGAATGCACAGATAAACAAATGTTGTGGCTTTCTAAGGACTTTTTCAGTGTCACAACAACCGTGGCGTCTATCGGTTCTGGTTCAGTGCCAGCTGGTTTGGACACCATCGTTATCGTGCTGACTACAGTTGGACTTCCAGCAAAAGATCTCAGCTTACTGCTTACCGTCGACTGGCTGCTGTGAGTTCAACTAATTACGTTTCCTTTTTGAGAAAGGAGCAGCAATTCCTGCCGTTGGGAGAAATTTTTTGCAAAAGACGAGTCCCTTAGAATTTCCTGCTTTGGTACGACTCCCCTCCTTCCTCACCCGCTACCCTACGTACCATCTTCCGGAATTTTCCGGATCTTCCGGAATTTTGCACTTTTGCTGAGCTTTTTCGGAGTAGTGGGGAGCGCACGTGAAACGGGAAAATGAGAGGAAAGTCACTAATAGGAAAAGTTTCTCTCATTGCTGTTTTGAGCATCCTTGCATTTCTGGCAAGGAGACAAATTTGGGCCTCACTTCGAGAAGTGTCAATGAGCGTCTAGTCTTTGAGCTTTTATATCCGCTATGTGTTTCAGTGATCGAATTCGAACTTCGGTGAATGTGTTGGGTGACGGATTTGGTGCCGGAATCATTCATCACCTTACCAAAAACAGCTTGGTAGAAGCAGACACCGACGAGTTGATTCGGCAAATCAGAGAGGACATACGTATGATTTCAAAGTTCTCCAAATTATTTCAAGCTCCTATTGGTTTTTTGGTCAGTTGGTACCGTTCATATTGAAGGGTGAAAAGGGTAGCACTGTACAGGATAGGTAGGATTCATGTCAAAGGCACATTTTCTGATCTCGAGCTATTTCAAGCTAAACTCTTCAAAGTGTATGATACTTGTTCTATTGATAATGACTTCAAACATTTCCCTGCCCCTGACATAATCCCCTCATATGCCAACTTTCTAATGAATCGTGTTCCGAACACTCCAGTAGGTACAAGTTTCGAAGAATGGGAATTTAAATTTTTACTGTAGGTCGTTTAGATCAGCTCAACAATCCCAACGCTCTGCCAGTTGACAATGCTCATCCGAGCGACCAGATCTCACTGCACAGTCAAACGGCGATTCCAATGCAGGTATGTCGCTAGGCGCAGTTCGGCTTGGTGAGGGCATTCAACTAGTTCCTATCGATCATTGTCAGCATCTCCTGTAGAAACCTGCAAGCAGTCTTAAGGCTGTGCAGTAGCACGAGCTTCCTTTATACATGATATGAGTCTACAGGTCAAGGTGAGGCGTGCAAGTTAACAGGAATCATTAAGAAAACTAGACAGCTAATTAAGTTCTCTCCCCCCTCCCACCCCCGAGCCGAACAGCGCCATGAAACTGATTACCTATTCGTGTGTTTACGATTCGTTCAGTTGTAAATTTGTCGCTTGTGGCGCGGCTATAAAGCGAGGCGACTGAGAGTGCTGCCAGAAAGTATGTTCTGTGAAGCCTCTGACTCCCCTACTTGTTAACAATAAGAAGCTTTTTTTACTCTGATATGGCTGGGGGCGGCGCCCTATGTGAACAAAGGGTTGGGCATATCAGGTGGTCTGGATTTGGCGCGGCACCAGCATGTTTTCCACCAACTGCTGTCGATCTCGCGTTTCAAAAAGTGGTGGAAGTGGGCTGGCGCCGCAGCAAACTCGGTCCCTGCCAAGCGCCAGCGTCTGTAGAGAAAAGGAGCATTGCGGCGCTTTGAGAGCTCTACCGTGGTTGCCCAAGTTCCCCCGTGGACGTGTTGGCACGCTGCCGAGTTAGGCGGTGAAAGAGCGATAGAAAACTAAGTGCCCCAGTGAAACGACAGGTAGGACGTCTGGGCTGGCTAGAAGTATGGCTTGGTCGCGCGGCATACTGTGTGCGAGACCTGTTCACCGCGCACATGTAGAGCTTGCATCTCACAGGTGAGTCCTGGTCATGGTCGTCCTCAGAGACGCATTTGACGTTCGTCGTATGGGCGGGGCAAGGCCCCCAATCGTGCCTTCCTCGGCCAAGCGTCTCAACCACGTCACAGTACCACAGACAGGGCATCTTCCGCTAGGGTGGTGGGAGGGAGGGGTTTTCACAAAGTTCAGCCCCTAACCCTCTAATTTCCTCCTCTATATACGACCGCCTAGCGGTGGTGTAGTGACAAGTGGCGCGCTTACCACTCGCGCGGCGCCGGGTTCAAATCCCGGGTCGACTCCCGCCCAGGCCAACCAAGCCTTCTACCTCCGGGGACGGTAAATTGGTACCAGATTCGTCTGGGAGGATAAAACACTGACTTGTACATCGGCTGGCCACCGCAAGTCATTGTATAGGCCACATCGCATTCAATAAGCGATTCTGAATGGAAGTAGAATGCGTGCCGCATCCCACAAAGGGATTGATCAACGGCGAAGACTTTATCCTTTATCCTTTTAATACGACTGCCCAAAGGACTGGTCATGCAGGAGGGGGAGGTCGCTTTCAAGCAATGCCAGGCCAGACACGATTCCGCTTTCGAATTGACGTGCACACGCTACACTCCCCCTCTCCCAATAGAGTACTCCAACGATGAGGGTACCGCGCGTAAAACAGTAAAAATCAACTAAAAAAACGTCTTCGGGCCAAATGCGACCCTTTCATCCCTCCAGCGACCGAATAGGACGCCTGCTGAGAAATTCCCGATGTACTGCGTGGTCTGCTTGCAATGGAGGGGAATAACATTGAGGAAGGCGAAATAGCATGTTAGGCTTTGACGAGCGTGGACTGCGTCTTTGAATACCTTGGATTTTATGCACACCACAGGCTGATTACAGATTCATGTCTCCCCAAAACGCACAATTCCAGATGATCGATGGTGATGGTGTTGAGAAACAGGTGCTGCCGGCGAATGACAAACGAAAACGTCTCGCACGTTTTTCGGGCCAGTCGTCGAAGAAGAGGAAAGCCGAACATTGCTCAAAGGCGAATTCACTGTATAGTCCCCTTCTTTCCAATTACGGTGTTCGCGTGCTGGTCGTATTTTCTAGTCCCTCGAATGTATCCTTGCCCTGGTTTAGACACACTCGTGCTCATAAACATACAAATCCTCCTCTATTGCTTTACTCATCCTCTCTCGATAGAGGCATCTTCACTTTTCACTTGATTCATCTTAATCAAGCAGTCGTTTCTTTTTGGTTATTAATCAGGCTCTCAAGCCTATCAAACCAATGTTCAGACTTATCAGGACCAGTACCTATGCCACAGATGTTCAGATTCATTTATTTATTGCGTGATATGAATAAATCAGAATTCTATGGCTTTTGTGTCAATTAACGATGTATTCTACGATCAGCTGACTGCAACTCGGTGCAGATCGGCTTGGTGGGGGCATTTTGCTGGACCTCATCGATCACTGCTGGTGCTTAATGCGGAGACGTATGAGCCCCTGTAAAGACATGTAGCAAGAGTTCTGTGTGTCTACTTGACAAGGTGCAGGTATTCAGCCAATGAGAAGACGTGTATTTCCCAAGAACAGTAAAGGACGGCAGCCAGAGTGCAAACGCACGCATCCTCACCCCCCCCCTTCCCTAGGTCAAACAGCGTCTAACTTCCCCACAAATTTTGTATAGCTCCTGGTTTGGTGGCCAGTGTCTTTTTCTCAGAGTCGCCATCGGAGGCGATCACCGTGCCGCCGTTATTGAAACGTTCTGGTGCAGGAGATACGCGAAAAGTATTATCACAGTTGGCCGAGCGAAAACCCCTTAATTGTTAAATTTGAAGGCAGTTGGCACGATGGTTTCCTGCTTAGCCTAAAATGCTAGTAGGGCGCTGTATAGTGGGGAAATGGCGAAAGAACGGAGTGAAACGGTCAAAATCCTGCGAAGAAAAAGCCTCCGTTCTTGTAAATCGATTTCGGACGAGTTTCCCGTAGGCATCTTGCCAATCACCGCTACCGAAGATACGGCTGCATATGTGTACCCATATGCATGCAGCATCACGGCCGCTTCATACCAATCCCTTCGCTTCATAATTTGCTTAGCAAATGAATGAATACGAGCGTCAGGAACGGTCGTCCATTTGTGGGCGGGCGGGCGTGGCGGGCGTTTGGGACGTAGTTGTGGCTTGATAAGGGCCGCCTTATAAGGGCACCTTCCTCGGGGAAACCGCTATGCAGCGCCTGCCCAGGGTCGCGGAATTCTATCCTGCCAGGAGTATTGATCCTAGTCGTCTTGGGGATTTATCGTGCCAACTGCCTTTAACCCTTTGCAGATCAGAGGCGCTATACTTACCCTTCGTCGCTGCAGTACTAGTGCGAGGAGAGGGGACTTTGAGAGACTGGAGTGGCGCTGCACCAACCCGTATTCCACCAATTGTTGCCTCTTGCCCTCTTCAATCATTAGTGGAGCGCGGTTCGTGCCACGCGAAAATCAGCGGAAACATTACAATTTTACTACCTTTCTGATGGTTGGTGAAAAAAGAACACCCTCCGCTTTTCTACAGATTCCAGAGGAGCCCAGGGAAAAAGTCTCCCTCTACGCCATACTTGACCCTAATGAAGGGACCCGCTGAAGCCTTTGAAGGTACTGGAGAAGGTGCGCCTCCATTGAAAAGTGTTACCACCACAAGTCTACCAAGTCATTTGGGAAAGCGAGCTCTTTCGCTATTTTAATAGTCGTTGATTATGATTACAAATCGATTTCTTTACAGGTGGGCGAATGTCGTTTGGTTTTCCCTGCCATTTCCTTTCTCTTGCCGTCATCTAATAGCAATTTTCGTCCTGCGCCTGCGTTGCTGAGGTGGTCCTCGCAAAACTTTTCAAGTTTTCATGACACAGAGGTCACTAACATCTTATTCCTTTAGTTCGCGTGTATACCTTTTACGACGGATTCCACCCTCACTGAACGAACCTCGGCGCTGTTCGACCCGGGAGGGGCATTTTGCACTTCCTTTAATTCTTTTTGCTAGTGCCTGCTCACTCGCGCGGCACACTTTGATGAGACCTGTAGACTCTGGTCAAGTGTCAACGAAGAGATCACCAAAATGCCCCCACAAGCCGAACCGCGCCGGAGCTACTGCGTACCCGGGTTTCCTGCGGTTATCGATTTTCCCTTCAAACTCTAAAAACGTCGTGCCCTTTCGCTGGTCGTTTCCGGCTTATAGTCGTCAATGAGTCATCTATCTATTCATAAAGGACTTTGCCGTACTTCTTCTCAGCAACATGCCGTTCCTTATTACGATTGCCCTCCTAGTGCAGAACTCATCATAGATTTTGTAAAGGATTTCACACATGCTAGTTCAGTTACGGAACATTCTCCTTGTTTTTGTTGTTCTTTTTCAGTTTCTTTTATAAAAAGTTAAAGGGCTGAGGAAGTTGATGGGTTCCATTTCAGGATAAGCCATTTTCTCGACATCCATCCACAATCAAGGTAGCACCGTGAGACTAATCAGGAGTTTTGGGGGGCCAGGCACAGTTCAAGCTACTGCCAGTTAATTCCTCATAGATAAGTCCGGTACCACCGTTGCACATGCGCTTGAAGGACGGAATGCAGAGCTTCTTTGGCCCGGGCGGGACCTATCTGAAAATTCAAAAAAAAAATGAATCTAGGATTATTAGTGCGTGTAAACTTGGCACATCACCGTTTCTGGATTGTTCTCATTGGCGTGAAGAAGTACCTACAAAGGTACCCTTCCCATGCCCCGAACCACGACTTTCGGGCGAAAGCGAAGCAGGCGCCAATTTTACCGTCCGCTATCAAAAATGCTTAGGCGTGAGCGATTAGACACCTTGCCTGCCTGCTAGGGTTCAAGTTTTCGAAAGATTATGTTCAGTACTTGCTGAAAATAACCGACAGGCAGCTCCCTTGATTCAGAAATACACACCGAATCCTTCAAGATTCGTCATTTTATCGAGACATCTATCACATTGTTGACATGTGCGCGTCTTAGAAAGCTCGAGGTTAAGCTGGCAAATATATCTCAGCTTGTGGCTTCAATCGCGACTTTCTTGGGAATCTCTGACTTTCTTCACAACACTAAATTCATTGAAAGAAAATCCAGGAAGCGGATGGAAGGCTTTTGTTTTTTCCTACTAAATATGGAAGGAAACGAATTAATATAATTGGTGATCTTTTTATTCCACATTGGTTTCATTTATCCTTTGCTTGATACTACTATCGTCATATTTTCATCCGAGGTGATTTAATGTTATTCAGATACTTCCATGGGTGAGCACATGATTCGAAAAAAGGGCATAAACTCAATTATTAGATGGCATAGCGATTAAGAAAAAGGAGGCAAATGTGAACAACCCAAGAAATCGAAACAAAAACAGAAATAGAAACGAGCGCATGGCGTAGCACTGTTACTTCTGACGGGAACCAAATGATTACCACATCCAAAAAGATCCAGAAAGGCCGCATTTCTATGTGTGACTCCTGTAATCACCCTATATTGCCCATATGACGTTTACAGAACCTATGCTGGCTCAGCACTCTCGTTGATCAGCTGGTAAACACGCGGAGGGCTGGTTTCTTTGCTGAAAGGTTTCTTTCTTTGGTGATCGGTAGATGTGATGCAACCAGCCTGGTGGAGCGCTTGACCAGACAGCTTGCAAATAAGGACTCGGAGCCACTTTGAATTCTTGAAGATGACGATATGATGAAATGTTGTCCAATAAAGCATTAGTAGGGGTCCGGGAGAGGAGAAAAAGCCAGGCATTAGCGCATCCATCAAAAAAATGTGTCATCTCCATGGCCAGAACCCACGACTTCCGATATGTAAGCCCAACTCACTGCAATTCGGCGAACTATCATCTGGTGACGCCAAATGGCACGGCGTCAAAATCGGATGTCGCTCCGTAATCAGCGTGCCAAACAACTATGAATGGGATTGCAGCTCGAAAAATCCTTGGGAATAGGTGTTGGAATTTCGTAGTCTCCCAATCGTTCCACCGTTTTACGGCTTAATTCTATAAAAATACAACTTGTTACAGCTCTCGAGACCTATTTGAGCGACATATACGGGAAGGTATATGACCATTTACAACAATGGCCTTCACAGTATCAACTGACCTCTCTCGAAAACGTCTCTCAGTTGGCCCTACAGTACTAAAATTTTTGGGGATGATCAAATTCACTAGTCTGTCAAAAACAGAGCCGTCCGTGCCGCTCGGGAAAAATTGTGCAGGGGAAAAATTGTCAACAAATACAGGCCCCTCCCTAAAACTTCCGTCTTTCGGTACTCCATCTTCCTACCACTTTCCCGGCGTTTTCCTCAAAAACTGCCGTAGAGCGGTGGGGGAAGGAAAAGGGTTCATAGCGTATCCGAATCGATAAAAGCGAGAAAATCAACAGCCAAAAGCATCTTTCTCAGAAGCAAATACGGCCCACCCTTTCCTCCAGCGGTCGCATCTGGCCCTTGATAGGGTCCTTAATTTAGGTGGTCGAAAATGAAAGATGGAAGTAGATTATTTTCTCCCTGGGGTGAGCCACACATTTCACTTTCGTATAGAAACCCGAATGCCTCTTATAGAACACTGCGGTGCAGTCTTTGTACAAGTCAGTGTTCTACTCTGCCAGACGGCCTTTTTTGCCGAATATCCGGTATAGAAGTGATGGCAGGCTTGACTGCACTGGGCTAATTGTAGGGCCGGACGCCACGGAACACTGCCACCTACCGTTACATCATTATTTGATTTTTCTTGATATGGGCATCAAAGACGGTAAATAGTCCTAGACGGTCTCCATACTTTTCTTTTGCGATGCTGAACAAAAGGTAGGCACGAAGAATTCTGATTTACGGACAATTCCGTCTGAATTCTTTAA